GGACCCGAGCGTGGGGGGGGGGCTGGGTTGGGATGAGGAAGGGTAGAAGGCACAGTCAAAAAGGAGAAAGTTAAGTCGTGCCTTGAAGGAGACAAGAGAGGGAGCAAGGCAAAGGTATTGTGAGATGGAGTTCCAAAGGGTGGGGACAGAGATGCTGAAAGCCTGGCTACCGATGATAGGGTGGGTTGAGCGGGAGTCCTGGAGCAGGCTAGAGCCTGCTGAGCGGAGGGAGCGGAGGGTCAGCAGGTCAGAGATGTAGAAGGGGGCAAGGCCATGGAGGGCCTTGAAAGTGAGGATGAGAATTTTGAATTCTATCCTCTGAAGGATGGGGAGCAAGTGGAGCCGGGCAAGGATGGGGGTGATGGGGTCATGGAGCCTGGTGCGGGAGAGGACATGAGTTGCAGATTAGTGGATGATTTGCAGCTTGTGGAGGGAAAGGTTGGGGAGGCCGACAAGGAGGGAGTTTCTGTAGTCGAGCCTTGAGGTGACGAATGCGAATATGAGGGTTTTGGTGGCCTGAGGGGTGAGATAGTGGCAGAATCGGGCAATGTTGCAGAGGTGGGGAAGGTAGAGCGGGTCCTGGCAGGGATATGGGGGAGAAAGGACAGTCAAGGGTCGAACAAGACACCTAGGTTCCTGACTGGCTTGGTGAGGTGGAGTTTGCAACCGTGGATGCTGATGCTGCCAGTGCCTGAGGTGCAGAGGCACTGGCACGAACCAATCAGGAGGGCCTCAGTTTTGCTGACATTCAGCTGTACAAAGTTGGCTCTCGTGCAGGACTTAATGTCAGACAGACAGTCTGTCAGGACATCAGTTGCCTAGAATCGAGAGTGGAGGCAGAGAGATAGAGTAGGCTGTCATCCCCATACATGTTGAAGTTGACCCCATGTCTGCGGATGATGTCACCAAGGGGGAACATGTAAAGTTTAAAGAGGAGGGGACCAAGGACATAGCCCTGAGGAACACCTCACAAGACTGTGTGGGGGCTGGAAGAGAGACTGTTGATGGAGACAAATTGGAGGTGGTGTGTGAGATAAGACCTGAACCATTCAGATCTTATTTCTCCCAGAACCTTGAAGGTTGAGGTGAAAGAAAAGGCGGTGGAGGTGGATGGAGTGGTTCACGGTATTGAAGGCAGCAGAGAGGTCGAGGAGGATGAGGAGGCAGAGGTACATAGTGGAATGCTTGACAAGAGAGCAATACAGATACAGAGATGGGCGATGGTGAATTAGAAGCAGAGATTGCCGGCTGAGTGGATCTGTAATGGGCAGTGGTTTGAGCCAAACTGACACCCAACATTTGAGATGATAAAATCCAAGCATCAGTAAAGGGTTCAAGAGAGAGGCAATGATTAACGTACAGGTATTTCCATTGATAAAATTGAGAAGTAATGACTGAGGCACCTCGTAGAGTAAACTTACCCTCCAAAACCCTCATATAAAACAATGTTTTCTTTTTAATTGAGATGCATATTTCACCGTCTGATACTTAATCCTATTAGCAAATGTTTCCTGGCAGGTAACTCTTCGGGAAATAGGGATATTGAGTTACTATGCAGCTAGGAATCCTATCAAGAGAGGGGCATTTACTTGTTCTCAAATTGGCTTGGAGGACATTGTGTGTTATGATCTCTAGTCAGGAATGTTTGATAAACACGAGCTTGGCGTAAACCTGTTCCCCAATTCTTTTTGTGAACCTGGACATGCTTTGCATTCTCCCAGTACTCTGTTGTCACCAGTGCGATTTTCTGGTGCTTCTATAATGTAATGATCTCAGTAACAGCGAGTTACTTGAAAGCAGTCATCAGAATGGAATGTAGAGCAGATCTATTTACAAGAGCATGGTTTTCCTCAAAAATAGTTCAGCAAACTTTTTATTTTGTGTAGTTGTTTATAAACACCAGCACACACAGCCTATGGTGCAAATTCCATCGGACTGCACATCATAGGATAGTAGAAATAATAATAATAATCCTTGCATTTTGACCTAACTCTTATCACGTCTTTGAGACATCTCAAAGCGCTTCACAGAATATACTGTAAAGTGAATTTTGTGGGCAAAACACCACAGCCAATTACACAGAGCAGTGTCTCACAAACAGTGGTAGAATGAGTGACCAAATTATTATTTTTTTTGAAGGAATTATTACCTCCAGAAAAGCGATCCGCCATTCGACTAACAACTGTGTTTCTACTTGCTGCTAGGTAAACAGAGACGTGTGGAGTAAGGAAACTTGCCCAACGTTTCGCCCTGTTGGGAATCTAATCAAGGTCTCTCACTTGCGAGGTGAGTGCTCTAAGCACTGAGCTAAATGTAGAAATGTAGAGTATCAAAGACCAATACAGTCCACCTCACCTATGCATGACCAACATTCGGCTTAGCTCTCGACTGGGTTTCCACAAAGAAACAAAAGAAGTTTGTCAACTTGTTTCAGGACTTTGTGACCTTTTCAAAACAGACAACTTCAGTAGAAACCCCATCTGGAGTATTGTGTTCAGTTTTGGCACCGCACCTCAGGAAAGAAATATTGGCCCTGAGGGGGTGCAACGCAGATTCACCAGAATGATACCAGGGCTTAAAGGGTTAAATTATGAGGACAGGTTGCATAAACTTGCTCTCTATTCCCGTGAGTCTGATTGAGGTGTTTAAAATGATAAAAGTGTTCGATTGGGTAGATACAGAGGAACTATTTCCTCTGGTAGGGGAATGCAGGACAAGGGGAATAATCTTAAAATTAGAGCTCGGCCATTTAGGAATGAAATCAGGAGGCAGTTTTTCACCCAAAGGGTAATGGAAATCTGTCTCTCCTCCGAAAGGTTGTGGATGTTGGATCCATTCACATCTTCAAGACTGAGGTGGATAAATATTTGTTAGGTCAGGGTATAAATGGATATGGGGCAAGAAGGGATATTTGGACTTGAGGTACAGATCAGCCATGAACTAATAGAATGGAGGAACAGGCTCAAGGGACTGAATGGCCTCCTCCTGTTCCTATGTTACTCGACCCTAACTCCACGTTTTGTGGATTTCTCCCCCAACCATCGACATAGCATTAAAATGTATAAACTATGGAACCATAGTGTACAATTTGACAACTAATTCTAAAAAAAGTTTCACGCAAATTTCCCGTTGCTGCCACCATTGGTGGACGCACTTTCAGCCATGATGCCCCAAAACTCTGGAACACTCGTCGAAGACCTTCCTCTTCGATCATGTCTATGGTCAACCTCCCCCTCCCCCTGGTGTTGTGTTCCTTCACTGTCAAGCTCTCTGGAGCGCTGACCTGCATGAGGGGTGCTATATAAATGCAAGTTGTTGTTGTCATCGTCGTAGCAACAAACTGTTTTTAAATGTGTGAGAATCAGTGTGCAAGAGCCATAGAGTATGGAGTAGGAAAGACTCACAGAAAAAGACAGACCAGAGAGAGAGAGAGAGAGAGGCAGAGTGACAGAATCAAAGACAGAGTGAGAGACACAGGGAGAACAAACTCACAAAGAGGTGAGACAGGGAGAGACAGGAAGTGAGGGACAGAAAGAGACAGGGAGACAAACAGGAGGCAGTAATTTATTCTTGTGGACAGCCAGGTGTCTGACATGTGTGGAAACCCATCACTATGCTTAAGAATATCCAAACTAGACTATAACATCCACATATGCGTGCCCCCTGTGTCTGCAATGGAATGCACACACTCTCCCTAGAGGGACACTTCATGCTTACTTAATTCTTAGCAAGAGCCAAGGTTTGTGGTAGTGTTGGAGTTGGACCAGCTAAAACCATTAGATTGGGACGTCCTCCCGACGTGAAAGGCGCTCTATAAATGGAATCTTGTTGTTGTTGTTGTTGAAAGTTTTTCTGGCAAACTTCCTGCTGCTTGACCACCTACCCTTTAAGGCTTTGGCTTGCAGGGTTAACAGGAGCTGAGTGGGATGACTCCCTGCCCCCAGTGACTGGTCTGCCCTTCTAGGTGCTGCTGATGAGCCAGACTGTGCCGTCATCAGCAGTGCCCTGGAATACTGCAGACCCATCTGGCTCAGGAACTGGACTACCGAGACCATCACGTACATGGAACTATGGAACTCTGTCTGTTTTGGATACTCTCAAGCATTGTGCTGGATTTATAATAATAATAATCCTTGCATTTGATATAGCGTCTTATCGCACCTTCGAGAGTATATCGCTTCACAGAATATACTGTAAAGTGAATTGACAACATAAGCAACAGCTAACAGCAACAAATTGCATCTGTAAAGCGCCTTTCATGTTGGGAGGACGTCTCAAGGCTCTGGACATTTAGGGATTTCCATCCAAGCTGGGGGTGGAGATAGCCCAATCTGGTGACATTCGGAGCCGGGGCCGTACACAGCCTCGACCCCACCACCCCCTATGCTAGTTTCTAGGGAGGGGCAGCGCACCGCAGACTCTCGTCTCCTCTCTATCTCCCCCTACCCCTTTCCCTCTGTTATGCTCTCTCTCTCCACACCCTTTCCATCTCTACCGCTCTCTCCTTCTCCTGTTTCCTCCCCTTCCCCCCCCCCCCCCCCCCATGCTCTCTCCTCCCCTCTCTCTTGCCCCACTCTCCCTTTTCCCTCTCATGCTTTCACTCTCCACCCCCCTCTCTCTCTCTCTCTCTCCACACCCTCCCTCTCTCGCTCCTCCCCTCTGTCTCTCCTCCCACCCCATTCCCACTCCCATGCTAGCTCTCCTCCTCTCTCTCTCTCTCTCTCTCCTCCCACCCCTCTCTTTGCTCTCTCTCTCTCCTCCCACCTTCCCCTTGCCCATGTTCTGTCTCTCTCACTCTGTGTGACATTAGCTGGAGGGTGTGTGTGTGTGTGAGAGAGTGATGGAGCTGGGGGCTGTGAGGGGCAGTCTGTGGGAGAGCTGAGATCAGAGCCAGAGAGTAGCGCAGCTCTGTCTCACAGACACACACACAGCACAAAGCGCAGTAAACCCATTGCGCTCAGAAGCACATCAGCGCATCACCACTCACTCACTCTCTCACTCACTCACAACGCTATCTGCATAGGAAAGTGCGGATGGACCAGGACAATGATGGGGTAAGGGCACGGGCTGGTGCACAGCAATCATACTATCATTCTTTTCTTTGTTTCTCCTTCTGTTCTTCTCCCATCCGATCAGCAACAGCAAGTGACTGACTGCTGAGTGGTTGGTGGAACTGCTGCTGTCTCTTTGTGTGTTTTGCCACTGAGTGTCACTCCTCTCTAACATCTGGTTCTCACCACCAGGGGCTGTACAGACAGACAGAGACAGAGAGAGACAGACAGAGAGAGAGAAAGAGAGATTGAGATTGTTTGTGTCTTGAGTGAAAGAGGACATTGTAAGATGGAATGGATCCAGGTGGTGATCTGTGGAATTTCGATTTAAAGCCCATCGCAGTCTATGTGGGCACTTTTGTCAGTCTCTTTGGGTTCAGTTTCTATGCACTTTCTCTCACTGTTTTAACTATCTACAGCCTGCTTTAACCAGCTGTAGTCTGGGCCTGAAAGACATATATGATCTATATATTCAGTGTAATGATCGAAACTGTACACAGGGATCTCATGTTCCTCAGTGATGTTCTCTAGTCTCTGTATTGAAAACAAAGCGTCTCTCATGGCTCAGTGATATTCTGTGGTGTCTTATGTAGGAACCTAGGAGTCTCACATTACTCGGTATTGATCTGTACTCTACCTGTAGCTCAGTGGTTAGAGCACTCGCCTCGCAACCGAAAGGACCTGGATTCAATTCCCGACAGGGCAACGTTGGGCAAGTTCCCTTATGCCACCCTTTATTTACCCACCAGTAAATAGGAACCCAGTTGCTAGTCGATTGGCAGATTGCTTTTCTGGGGGTAATAAATCCTTCAAAAAAAGTTTGGTCACTCAATCCATGACTGTTTGTGGGACACTGCTGTGTGCAATTGGCTTCCGCGTTTCACCCACAAAATATACAGTCAATTCACTTTACAGTGTATTCTGTGAAGCGCTTTGAGACGTCTCGAAGACATGATAAGGCGCTATATCAAATGCAAGGATTATTATTATGTCTTTATGTAGTAAACTAGGAGTCTCACATTGCACAATATCGATCTGTACTCTACAGTTTATCGCTGTCTAGTATCAATATGCTCACACTGCTCAGAAATAAACTTTGGTCTAAGCGCTGAATACGAAGGGCTCTGAAGGTGTTGTACTACTTCCAGTGACTATTTGTGGGCATTTGACAAGTTCTGAAGCGCATTCAATGAAATTCAGGGGTAGGCTTTGTTTGGGATAATACATCTCTGAGTCACTGGTTGAATTAATTCAAGTTGAAAATCTTTAGAAACTGCACTTGGTGGAATTGCCACATATTGATTCAGTGCACAGTTTCATTTAATTTTATTCAGTCGAGCCACACTATTTGGGATCAGGGTCACAAAGGTTCCTTGCTTGAGTGTTGAACGATATAACATTTGGCCCATGTATGATTGATGTTCAACTTATTTGCATACCACGTTGCAAGTTTCTAATGTGGTTTTGATTCTTTTTTTTAATACAGACCATTTTTTTGTGTTGCAAAACCTTTCATTCATAACATCTGCTCTGCACCCTCTCAGATTTAGTCTGCTTTGCCTTTTATTTCAGTGTGTGGCTGCGATCCATCGCTTAGAGAAATTATTACTGCTTAATTGTAGTTTCAGCAATTTTCCTTGGACTGAAAAATAAGGAACAGTGCCCAGTAATACTGATGCTTTGTCACATTGCACCAGTTAAAACTAGATTCTTACCATTTGGGGAAGACAAAGATACCTCCAATTCCTTCCGTGTTATTCTATACCAGGGAGGTCCAACTTTTTGGCTGCCAAGGGCCGGATGCCCTATTTGAGAAAGTTCAACTGGCTCCATAAGCAATATTTTTGTGTTTCCCCTTCCAGAAACACATTTACACATTTTCATGTCGGTAGGACGGCTTAAAGCGCTCAACACTGCTGGCTGTTTCCCTACTGAAACAGTCATTGGGTTAGTAGTGATTCTGCAATTGGCTGCTGCATTTCGCCCACAAAATATACAATCAATTCACTTTGAGACGTCTTGAAGATGTGATAAGGCCTAGATCAAATGCAAGGATTATTATTATTATTACTGCACGTGTTGATAATGTTGAAAATAATAATGGGGTCACTCCATCCAGCACTGTTTGTGGGACACTGCTGTGCACAATTGACTGCTGCTTTTCACCCACAATATTTACAGTTAATTCACTTTCACTTTACAGTATATTCTGTGAAGTGCTTTGAGACGTCTCAAAGACGTGATTAGGCGCTTTATTAAATACAAGGATTATTATTTATTCATCAATAATTTGGAAGTAGGTGAATACTTTGGTTGATCATTATAATAATTCTTGTAACCATTGCACTTGTAGATAGGACTTTAAGGGATAAGTTAGGAAGAGAGAAAATCAGAGGATGGTAAATTTGTCAATGGATTGCTTTTACATCAGTTTCTACACGTCAGGACTATGGCCACATTTCATATACTTTATGTTTTTTGTTCAAGTCGTTTATGCAACAGATATCAGTAGACCAAGGGTTACGGAAAAACTTAAACAAATGAATGTTTACGTAACCTAGAAGTGGCCTAGACAGGATATACCTCAGGATCCTCATGGAAATTTGAGGGGAAATCGGTGACTCCCTGGTTAATAATTTTAGGAGCTCAATAAACATTGCAGTCGTACCTGAGAAATGGGGTGGGTGGGTGGGGTGGGACAGCAGATAGTACCCTGGTACTGAAGGAATGGAATGAGATTATAGGCGTGGATAACATTATCAATCTCCCATCTTAAGTGTGTTGTCTGACTGAGATGATAGCAATCTTGCCTCTTAAGGGACAAGTCAGAAACTTGTGGGTTCAATCCCCCACATCAGAAATTTGAATTCACAGTCTTGCGCGATGCTCCAGTGCAGTGCTGGGAATAATAATAATCCTTGGATTTGATATAGCGCATTATCACGTCTTTGAGACGTCTCAAAGCGCTTCACAGAATATACTGTAAAGTGAATTGACTGTACATTTTGTGGGCATCAGCCAATTGTGCACAGCAGTGTCCCACAAACAACGGTGGATTGAGTGATCAAATCCTTTTTCTATTTGTTTTTATTGAAGGGATTATTATTCCCGTGAAAGCGATTCGCCAATTGACTAACAACCAGGTTCCTACTTACTGCTACGTGAACAGAGGGGAGTGGAGTAAGGAAACTTGCCCAACATTTTGCCCTGCCCGGGAATCGAACCTCTTGCTTGCAAGGCGAGTACTAAGATATTCTAAGCTACAATATTCCACTGATGAAATTAAACTAAGGTCCCTTGTGAAACCCTTTGAGATGTACTCCCAATGTGAAAGGCATTATACCAATTGCAAGGATTATTATTCTATATTCCCCTTCATAATAATAATTTATTCTATATTCCCCTTCATAATAATAATAATAATCATCCTTGTATTTGATATAGAGCCTTATCACATCTTTGAGATGTTTCAAAACGCTTCACACAATATGCTGTAAAGTGAATTGACTGTATATTTTTGTTGGCAGCCAGTTGCACACAGCAGTGTCCCACTAATAGTCGTGGATTGAGTGTCAACAATATTATTATTATTATTTTGAAGGGATTATTACCCCCGGAAAGCAATCCACCATTTGACTAACAACCAGCTTTCCATTTACTGCTAGATAAACAGAGGTGTTTCCAACGTTTCGCCCTGCCCGGGAATTGAATCCAAGTCCTCTCGTTTGTGAGGCAAGTGCTCTAACCATTAAGCTGCAGGACTCTACAAAGTCATTATCCTACATGACTTCATGCCTTAGAGCACAAGGTTGGTTGCTGAGCAAGGGAGGATGAAGAGTGCTGCTCACTCACTAGGTCTCACACTCGTTTTCAAATCCCTTCGCTCTCTGGCACCTCCGTACCACTCCAACCTCCTCACTCCCCAATCCACCACCAGTCGCCTTCGCTCGACTGGCACCGGCCTCCTGCTCGTCCTTCGCACTCTCCGACCGACCATCAGAGGTCGCGCTTTCAGCTACTATGCCTAGAAACTCTGGAACACTCCCTCATTCCTGCTGCCTTGCCCCCTCCCCTTTTTCACGACTGTGCTTATGGCAACCTATCCACCCCTGGCTCGGAGTCAGGACGCCACTGTTAAGCACTCTGAGATGCTACCCTGAGTGGAGGGCGCTATATAAGTGTGAGTTGTTGTTGTTGTAGGCCATTGAGAGAGCTGTATCCCTCGATATATGTCCAGAGACGGCAGGGAGGTAATTCAGCATATTTGCAAGGCTGATGAAACCTCTTTAAAAGCAGCCAACATTTAGAATTGCGCATCTCTTCTAGCTCTGATTGTGCTGCAGTCCGTAATGAGCAACTTCTTTAAACAAGCCAAACACACACTTGTATTCAGCTCTTTCTGCTTTAATGTGTGTCCTGACAAAAAAAAGTCGCCAAATGCAATGTTTTTTTCGAAACAAAATCAGTTTTACTTTCATTCTCAGAATGGAAATAGCCTTAAAACAGGTTGTGAAATTCAGAACTAGTTATGCCTCTTTGTCATGCCTGTGCTTAGAAAGAGGAGGTTTTCCCTACACAAAAAAATTAGTCTCCAGATTTTCAAGAAGCAATTAAAAGACCAAGAGTGGATTAATTTGGAAGTCTTGTTGTAGTGGTGTGAAAAGCTTTGCTTAGGAGAAGTTGGAACGTCACACCAACCCACAATGAATGTGGTTATACTATTTAATCTGCACAATAATAATAATAATCCTTGATATAACGCAATATCACATCCTCGAGACAGACATCTCAAAGCGCTTCACAGAATATACTGTAAAGTGTGGGCATATATTTTGTGGGTGAAACGTGGCAGCCAATTGCACACAGCAGTGTCCCACAAATAGTGGTGGATTGTGGAGATATAGATATCAGCCAGAGATTGTTTGAAGCACCATAAAAAGTGCTGGTAGAGTCACACAAATATACTCAGTGTTTCAGGCTCACTGATCCTCCTCTCTCCACTT